GGTCACCTCTACAGCCTGGCTGTCACTGCACTGCCTACCGAGAGCCCGGTGTCCCCTGGCTCCCGTGCCCACATGGACCTGCTCCTCTATGGCGATGTCGCTGAGGCAGCTCCCCTTGTGGGTTTAGGTGGACCCCGTGAGGGTCAACGGGATGCTTTTTATCTTTTAACCATGATTTTCCACTCAGGCAGGGAGGGACGCAGGGGATTTCATTTGACTGCCTTGGTGTTTGGCAGCCACTAAGGAGTTAAAACTGGTCTGTGCTAGACAACTGAGACAAGCAGGTGCAGAAAGAGAAGGGCAGCCTGGAAAACAAAGAGTCCAGTCCAGATCTCTTCCTTGCATACCATGCAACTGCAGTAAAGACGACTAATGCAGTGCTAGTGGGGAGGGGCATAGTGTTTCCATTAGTAAAACTTTGATGCAAAGGGACTAAGTGCCCAAGGCAGAGGGATGGTGATAAAAGGAGCCACCTAAGTTTAAATTATGAGTAAGCTCCCAGATGAAGTTATAAAACTAATTTCAAATGGTGATGAAATCGTGTCGTTGTAGGTGAGATTTCTGAAAGTGTGAATTGATATGTAAATAGATATCTTAATATATCTATCTGATTCCCCAGTTAAAGTGTTCGTTCCTTTAACAGTAGGGCCCCTAGAGTGTCTAGTCTAGTTTTCTGCATGTACTAACATTCCATAAATTAGAGAAGGAAACTAACATTTGCTCAGTATCTAGTCTGTGTTCTTTGGCATATGGAAATTCATTCAGGTTAATCCTCACCACAAACACATTAGCACATCCTATTTTCTGCATTTTGCAGAAGTGGAAAGGTGCTCAGAGAGTTTTAGTGACATGCTCAAGAATGTAAAAAGTAGTGAGAGAAGAGACATTCAGATACAGGCTATGTGCCCCACCCTAAGACCAGGACAAGGAGAAAATTCTGAGATGCCCTAAATTAAATTACAGCCGGCCAGAGAGAGGGAGGACGAGGGGAGGAGTTAATCGGTTAACAACTGCAGGGCAAAAGCAACCAAAAACTACTTACATTCCTGAGTGTATGTTGGGACTTCGAGTTAACTTCCAGGTGGCATCAAAAAGAGAAGAGCCAGGTGCCACCACATCCCAGGAGCCTCCACTTCTTACTTACACATGAACTATCCACAACCCAAAGGAGCAAACCGTCTTCCTCACAGACCGTGCACCTATCCCAGAACCGCCCTCCCCCACTTCACTCTCTCCCACCCACCTTATCTGTAGCCAATGCAAATTCTTTCAAAACCACCTACATCTATCCTCCTCCTCCTTGGAGAATGAAAAAGCCCTTCAGATGCAGGCCTCCAGGCATGTTTGTCTTTTCCACTAGCCCTGCTGGTAGTTTAGACTTCATGCCCCAAGACCAGGTTTTTTTCTTGCTAGCAATGGCCCTTTCTATTCAAAAGGCTTTCAGCCATGCAAGTTAAAAAAATTTTGTTTTACAACCATGTTCTTTCAACAGGACCAACCAATCTTCTAAATATTCATTTCATTTTAAATGTATGCAAAATGTGGATGTGGGTGTGGGTGTGTGTGACAAAAAGTTTATTGAATGTTTTCTGAATCAAGCAGTATTAAGTTCTGCTCTACTAGTATATTGCTGTACTGTTCATTGAAAATGGGTAGTCCAGGTACTGCAACTCTTTATGGAGAAGGTAATTTGTCTATCATGCTTCCAACATAAAAAGTGATAATATTAGTAGAAGGGAGAGAGGAGGAGAGAGAGGGAGAAACTGGAAGGAGGAAAGAAAGGTTGATTTTATGCTGGCTTCAGAAAGGAAACTTACCCAGGTTTCAGAATACCGTGAGGTCATTGCAAAGTCTGAATGACAGCAGTTTCCAATTACAAAAATATCTTGGTGAGATCACACATCTTGGAGGTAGCAGTAGGAACTCTGTGTTGGAAGACAAGACAGATTCTTTGTAACAGCAATAGAAGTTACAAGCTCTATTTGACCCATGCAAATTTTTTACTTCCACCCACCAAGCAATTCCAGAGGCATTTTTTAAAATAAAAGGTTAATATAAAATATACAGTGTCCCCCCAAAAATTGTATACACACTTTAACAGCTGATAACTCACTTAATTTTGAAAAGGAACTGTATGTTATGTATGTTAATAAACACTGACTTTATAATCATTCAAAATGTGTATATATTTTTGGGACACCCTGTATATATGGGCAAGAAGTTTCTTTAGTGCTTTCTGAATCAAGAACTATTAAGTTATGCTCTATAATGTCGGTGGTTTAGACTTCATGCCCCAAGACCAGGTTTTTTTCTTGCTAGCAATGCCCCTTGAGAGAGAGAGAGAGAGAGAGAGAGAGAGAATATAGATATATACATAGATATCTGATACAGTTCCTCAAATAGAGCACTAAATTAAAGCCAAAGTCCAATGTAGAATACAGAGTGAATTGAATCAGCTGCTGAAAAGATTGAACTTTACTGGAACCCTACACTCTTGGAAAACAGGGAGATCAAGAAATTCCACAGCTACTACCATCATCACCCTTTTGCATATCAGAAAACAGCTTAATGCTATTAAATTAATTAAAGAGGCCATTAGTCTGAGGTGGCCCTAATGCCTTGGGAGCCTACATAAGCAAACTAAAATCAAAACCTATAAATGCTTAAGGATTACAATATTGAAACCTAAGGACAATCAATGATAAACAGCCAACTAAGCTTTAAGCTATAGCCAATTAATAATTTCCTTACTTTGTTGTGTGCCTTTCTCTATAAAAGTCTCCCCAAGCTTGTTTTGGTAGAGCGCTCCTAAACTCTTCTGGTTTGGCACTTCCCAGTTCAAATTAACTTTTGTTCAAATAAATGCTTAACATTTTTAATATGCCTCAGTTTATTTTTTTAATACTGTAAAGAAGCATTCTTCCATATATTAATACCCTTATACTTAGCTAGTTATTAATAATAGGAAAGGATCAAAGGGAAGGTCAGACATCATAGACATGTCATTTGGGCAGCTTCACCAGGAAGCTGCAACTACACCTTCCCCAGGGAAATACCAGCCTATCCCCTGCAGATCACTGAGGGGAGGGTCCAACAAAGGGGAGACAGATGTATGCCCAGTGAAGTTGGGGTGACTAGGAAAGGTGTTTGTCAGTCACACTTGGGAACAAAGATCATTGGCCAGAATGGGTGTGGCCACTGCAAGCCCAAAAAATTTGGGAATACATAATCCCCTAAACAAAGGAATGCTCTCTTCACTCTTGGGGATCTTGTACTTATGACTCTTGTGACTCTCAGCTCTCTCTTTGTATTCACCCGTATGGTCCATGGCCACGTGGATCCCACACACAATAGACTAATGGACTAGAGTGGGAAACATAAGCTAAGCTAGCCTGAGGCTGGGCTGGACTCGCTTCAATATGGAAAGGAAACTCTGGACACTGGCTCTGATTTTAGCTCTACAGAAGCCCCAGCTATACTTCTACGGCGGGACAGAAGGAGAGGGGGCCTTAGAAACTTTGGGCATGTAATTCCATGGAAATAAAGCTCTCTGCACTATCTCATCCTTCCATGGGGGCCTCTGGAAATTCTTATTGTAACATACCCCAAGAACTCTACTTCCACTGGAACAATGTGACTTATGAAAGACCCACAGATGACCCCCATGTTTATCCACGACAAGTCCAGACACAGGCCCTCCAAATTCTCATTCTTTGTCTTATAAATAATTACTTGATCTGTTTGCCCCCACTGAATGATCTGAGAAATGCCCACTAACTTGGCCAGGCAAATTTTCCTCAGGCTCCTCTTCCCTAGGCCAGGCCCCTGAACTTTGGCCTGCCCTTGAGTTTAAGCAAGCATTGGGAGCTTAAGGAACCGCTGGGAAGTGGGGAGTTGGGGGAGGCCTTAACAGCTTCTCCTGAGAATCAGCTAACCACCAAAAAGACATTTCCTGCTCATCTGTTCAATCCACCACCTGCTCGCCCCACTCCCCACACCCAGTTCCTTCTAGGCTTGTTTACTCTTCCCTATAAAAGAAAGACCCTTTCTGCTTGGTCTTTGAGACCCTTATACATATTATGGTCAGTGTGTTTTCCTGTTGCAATAGTTCCTTTACTTCTATTGTAATAATCCCCTCCTCTAATTAGAATAGTCTTTTCAAATAAAGTCTCTCCTTACCTGAGTCTGGATTTGGTTTTTTTATTTGACACTGCCTACGGTTATAGTTTCTAATATACTTAGAAGTATATTTCTCCTCTGTCACATTTGCTTTTATTTATGATTTCTCTTTTATGGGTTTTAAGTATTCATCCCAGATTCAGAAGCCACATGGGCAGAGGTATCAAACCCTCTGAGGGTATTAACCAGCTATCCACATACATCTCAGGTTAAAATGGAAATGAATAGGTAGGAGCGCTGCTTCCATATGCAAACACCTCCAGGTAATCAATTCGATTCTAATATCTTGCTGGCTGCAAAATCATGGCTTCTGGGGCCATTTAATTCACTTCCAGCTAATGCCTGGGGTGCCAGTGCATAACAAAGGAAACATAAAAAGTCTATAAAACTAAAATATTTCATTAGATCACAGCAAGTTAAAAGCCTGGCCAACTCCAAGCTTCACAGAGCATCTTTGGCATCTTACCCCTGAGCTGGCCCAAATAAAAGGTTTGCAAGTATTTACAAACTATCAACTTTGCACTCTTGAAAACATCTGTTATCATCTGAGGTATTTTCCATAACAAAAGTAAGGACTTGTAGATTGGCAAAGGATTTTTTTTCGACTTGTGAATTTAGTAATAGGGGGAGTCATAATGTAGTTTTTAAAATTGTTGCCCTAGCTCAGTGGTCGGCAAACCGTGGCTCCCGAGCCACATGTGGCTCTTTGGCCCCTTGAGTGTGGCTCTTCCACAAAATACCATGTGCGGGCGCGCACGTACAGTGAGATTGAACCTTTGTGGCCCATGCACAGAAATCGGTTTTCGGCCTGGGCGAGTCTATTTTGAAGAAGTGGCATTAGAAGTGGAGGGTGTCGGTCGGTCGGGACGCAGGCAGGCTGCGGGATATGCAGCGCAGGGGAGGTACATTGTTTTGAGGTACATTCGCTGAGGTCGAACCCTTCCAACTCTCCCAACCACACTCATCTATCTGAAACAAGTATACAAGACAAGTGTGGATGGGAGAGTTGGAAGGGGTCGACCTCAGCAAACGTACCTCAATCAGATTGAGGACGTTTTTAGCAAAGGCCAGCTTAGGAGTACCCTAATTAAGTTAATAACAATGACCTACTATATAGTTTAAGTTTAAAAAATTTGGCTCTCAAAAGAAATTTCAATTGTTGTACTGTTGATATTTGGCTCTGTTGACTAATGAGTTTGCCGACCACTGACCTACTCTGTCTTCTTTACCTAATTGTCATCAGGGAGACAGAATCGTGCACATTCTAGCTTTATCAGGGTTAAATAAGATGACTCACATGGTCGCCATAAAGGGTGCCATGAAATTGACTCTGCCTCCCCTTAGTTTGTATGTTGTCTTTTCTAGTTGGATGGCTCTCTGAAATCAATAAAAATATATTTTAAAAAAAATAAAAATTGTAAATCACATTTAATTACACATATTTCATGAGTTGATCACTGAAATCATAGTTAAATTTAACATCCAGGGCACATTGTATCCATAATCATAGGCGAGTTTCATGTTCAGAAGTTTCCGGGGTACACTGTCATGGTTACCAGGATCAGCAGAGTGCTGAGAATTGTTTAACAACCAGCTCTGCGGGAGAGGGTAGGCCCTGATGTGTAGCACTTGCCAATTTTCATGGTGTAAACACTCCCACAATGACTAATTTCAAGATATCAATGTGACTGCACTTGGAGTTCAGGAAGAGATGCTCACTAACCCACCACACAGATACAAAAGATGTAAATAACCTCAAGAGAACAAAATAGTCAAATGTAGTCAAATAATTAGGAAGTGATGAGTTTTGAGTGAATATCATTTTAGTTTTAATTTAACTTATTTAACTAACTTTTTATAATTTAAATTTTAATGATGACTGTGAAACAACTGGCTTGCAAAATTCCTGAAAGTTTAATAGTCAGCTTTTGTATGTTGGCATAGCTGGTACCAATGGACACCAGTGAGTCCAAGATTCATCCCTCCCTCACTATGGCCATAACGTCTAGAGGACTAGACAACATCTACACTAATAAAAGATAAACATGCAAATTGGTGTCACTCCACTACACCCACCAGCCAATCAGAGTGACTATGCAAATTAACCCAACAAAGATGGCAGTTAATTTGCATATGCAGGCACGGAGTGAAGACTGAAGACTGAAGACTGAAGAGGCTTGGCTTCTCTGCTGTGGCCGAAATGGAGAAGCCAAGCCTCGCTGCGGCTGCAGCCGGACCAAAGGCCTGAGTCCCAGGTGCCGGAGGAAAACCGGTGCCGGCAGCCAGGGGAAGGAAGGCCTATTGCATGAATCTCTTTGTGCAACAGGCCTCTAGTTATTTAATAATACAGAAAGTATTTGGCCCACAGAAGCATAAGGGGTGTTACTAACCAAAGGCATATCTTACCTATGGTGGGTTGATATGGTGGCCCCTGAAAAAGATATGTCTAACTGAAACCAATGAACATGGTCTTATTTGGAAAAAGGGTCTTTGCCGATGGTATTAAGGATTTTGAGATTTAAAAAAAAACAACAACAACATTCTGCCCAGCCAGCAGGGCTCAGTTGGTTGAGCATCATCCTATGCATTGATTTGATTCCTTCCCAGTCAGGTCACTGGTTCAATTCCCAGTGAGGGCACATGCCTGGGTTGCCAGTTTGATCCCCAGTGGGGGGTGTGCAAGAGCCAGCCGGAGGATGTTTCTCTCTCATCAGTGTTTCTATCTCTCGCTCCCTCTCCCCTCCTG